GTGGAGACTTTTTTTTTTTTTTTTTTTTTGGTTTTTCGAGACAGGGTTTCTCTGTGGCTTTGGAGCCTGTCCTGGAACTAGCTCTTGTAGACCAGGCTGGCCTTGAACTCACAGAGATCCGCCTGCCTCTGCCTCCCAAGTACATGAGACTTTCTAAAAGAAAAAGATATCACTGTCCTCCAGAGGATGTCAGATAGCAGCTTCCACGATGGGCTCCCACTATCCATGCCCACATCCATGCATGCCCTTGTTCCCACACAGAGTGACCAATTTAAAAAGGCAGTTAATGGTATGTCCTTTCAAATGGGAAGTGTGGCTTCTGCTTCTCTTGTTACTGTCCTTGTATTATGCTGTACACCAGCCCTGTGGAAAGCCCACATGCCAAGGACCCATACACCCCTACCAGCTGCCATTTGAATAAATTCATCTCTCCCAGCAGTATAGTTGCCTGACTTTTCCAGACGTTGCTCCAGGGGAGAACCAACAGGTAAGATGGTAATACCCAGCTCATCCATGCCCACGGAAAGGATTTTTTCTCTGAGGTGACCTCACAACCCAAATCCTTAGCAAAACCTTTCTGCTCAGTGTATCTCCTGTTTGCCTCTGACTGTCTAACCTCCTCCTCCTTCCTGGGAGGTACCACCTGCTGGGGTCTGGGGTAAGCCTTACTGTTGCTCATAAGCCTTCTGTTCCCGCTCTCTTCTGGTGTTTCCCCAGTCCCTGTGTGGGATCTTGGGGCTGGTTCTGGCCATTGGACTAGTAAGCTGTGATGTATGTCCCTTCTGAAATACAGGTAGTCCCTGCCTTTCCAATGCTGTTTCCATGTCTTTTGAGCATTGTGAAAGAGCATGTCTGTGTGAGATGCCATGGATCACAGCAGCCTGGGTTGGGGGTCTGATGCCCTTTTCTGGCCTCTACAAACACTGCATGCAGATGGTGCACAACATATATGCAGGGGAAACACCCATACACATACAGATTTAAAACAGCCTGGATTGCTAAACTACCTCAGAGTGGTGTTGGCACCAGGGGAACTTTATGTGAATAGAAATGGAACCTGCACTGTAACTGTTCTACCCTGGCCAGTCACAGAGCCCTGATGGTTTAAACCATGACACAGGGGTCTCTGGACTCGGCATGGTCTCAAGGATGCTGTAGTTCTAACACTTGCTGGCTGTTTCTATACAACAGTGTGACGCAGGGGTCTCTGGACTCGGCATGGTCTCAAGGATGCTGTAGTTCTAACACTTGCTGGCTGTTCCTGTACAACAGAGCTAACAGCTGCCTGTTTCCTTTAACTTCACCTGCCATTCTGCCAAGTATCCATCCATCTTCAGCCCTTTTGATAACTGACTCCTTCATGGTCCCCCGTAATTCACCACATAAAGTGCAGAGGCCTTGCTAGTTCTCAAAGCCTTCAGAGGGCAGCACAAGCCCATTCCAGGCATAGTCCGTGCAGTTTCTTGGAATCTGGATGTACTCTAGAACAGTAAGGAATCGGTTGGTTCCTATTTCTCATGGGAACAGGAGACAGAAGAACCTGCAGCAACTGGGCATTTGAGATAAGAAACAAGGCATACCTACTGCAAACTAGTGGTCTGGGAGGTGTCTAAGAGGAACTATTTGAACTGAACTTTTGCAGTTAAATAGGAATTTCCTGGGCATATGGGACCTTAAGGAACTCAAACTCCAGTGAAAGCCAAAAACGAATAGCATATGCAGCTCTAGGCCGGGGCTGTGGGAAGGCCTTTATTCTACATAGTTTAGGTCATCAGAAGAATTTAAACGAATGAGTCAGGTCAGCCAGGAGCTGGAGTGGCAGGCAGGATGATGGGGAGTTGAAGGGCAGTCTGGGCTACACAGGAAAATAAGACCCTGTCTCAAAATGAACAAATAAAACTAAAGCAGGTCAGAGGAGAAGAGGCAGGAGGATCAAGAGTTCAAGGCCAACCTGGACTATAGAGTGAACTAGAGGGCAGCCTGGTCTACATAAGACACTATGTCAAAATACTAAGTTAAAAAAGCTTTTTGCTAGGAAAATATTTCTGATGGTGATGTATTTGGGAGGATCGCCACACCAGACAAAAGGCCAGTCTAATCAAGAACCTTCACTGGCTTTTTTTTTTTTTTTCTTTTAAAGGTTGTTTAAGAGATCGCTCTGCATAGCCCTGGCTTTCCTGGAACTCACTATGTAGGCCAGGCTAGCCTCAAACTTCCAGAAATCATCTGCCTCTATTGGGATTAAATATATGCACCACCACAATTCACATGGCCTCTGAAACTTTCTCACAAACTAAATTCTCTTCAGTTGAATTCATAATCTGGATATATACAGACCATGAAATATGCAAATTAAACATTAATGGAAATTATAAATTTTTGTTTTTGTATGTATGTGTGAAGGGTATATGTAAGCCAGGGTTCAGTGGTGTCTTCCTCAGGTGTGTGTGTGTGTGTGTGTGTGTGTGTGTGTGTGTGTGTGTGTGCGCGCAGGGTATATGAGAACCAGGGTTCAGTGGTCTCTTCCTCAGTTTCTCTCCATGGAATCTGGAGTTTGCCATTTCAGTCATACTGGCTGACCGAGTCCTAAGGATTCTCCTGCCTCTGCCTCCCTAGTGTGGAATTACAGGCACTTACAACTGCACCCAGCTTTGGTGCAGGGGACCTGAATGCATGCTGTGCTTTCTCCACAACCTAAGAAGCTTATTTTAAATAATTTTTAAATTTTATGTATTTCTATTTTGTCTGAGTGCTCTGCATGTACACCTGCCCGCCAGGAGAGGGCATCAGATCCTACTATAGATGGTTGAGAGCCACTGTGTGGTGTTGGGAATTGAACTCAGGACCTCTGGAAGAGCAGTCAGTGCTCTTGACCCCTGATACATCTCTCCAGCTCTAAATTTTTTTTTTTTGGTTTTTTTTTTTTTTTCGAGACAGGGTTTCTCTGTTTTTTTTTTTTTTTTNTTTTTTTGAGCCTGTCCTGGAACTAGCTCTTGTAGACCAGGCTGGTCTCGAACTCACAGAGATCCGCCTGCCTCTGCCTCCCAGGTGCTGGGATTAAAGGCGTGCGCCACCACCGCCCGGCCTAAAATTCTTTAACAAGGATTGAAACATACAGTCTAGCTAAGGCTACATAATGAGACTATATCTCAAAAAAATCAATTTTTCATATCAATGAGATGGACTTATATAAATCTTGGCTGGATATTTGCTAGTTTACAATGTAGATCCTCTTCAATATTTTTCATAATTAATATTTGATTTCATAATTGTCAAAGCTGAGTATACTGCTTCACATAAATAGTACAAAATGGTAGGTGTAGCCTGGTCAGTTTTGTCAACTTGACACAACCTAAATCTGGGAAGAGGCAGCACCACCGAAGAACTGACTACCTAGGAGCTGCAGACACTGAAGAACTAACTCGGGAGCTGCAGAGATGGTACAGTGGGTAGATACTAGCTGTTCTTCCAGAGCACCCTGTGGCATCTGACAACTGTAATTCCATTCCCAAGGGATCTAGGCTTTCTGGCCTCCATGGGGACAGCATACATGATGTACATGTGTACATTTAGGCAAACAAATATATATCTATCTAAAAATAATCTTTTTAAAGAATTGCTTCTATCAGGTTGGACTGTGGCCATGTCTGTGGGACAGCTGTCTTGATGCTAATTAATGTAAGAAGACTTGGTCCGCTGGGCTTTTTACAGTGCTGAGCATAGGCCAGGAAAGGAGCCGGTTAGCAGCATCCTCCCCGGCTTCTCCTCAGCTCCCGCTGTTTCTTCCCTCAGTGATGGACTGTGACACAGAAGCGGAAACCAAACAACCCTTTCCTTCCTGAGTTGCTTTTAGTTGTAGTGTTTGTCCCAGCAGTTGGTCAAGGGATGAGGCTATTTTGGGAATGCTGGGAACCCTGCCCTACAGTGGCAGTAGTAATACCCAACAAAAGAACTTCAGGAAGGAAGGGGTTTTGGAATCGTGAGGTAGCTCCTCACCTTGCATCTGCAGTCAGAAGCAGAGCAAGGAATGCTAGTGTTCAGGCCACTTCCTCCTTTTATCTTTCTGGGTCCTACTTCAGTCATCCTAGTGAAGAAAAGCCCCACAGGTCCTGTTGAGTTGGCAGTGTAACCATCACATCCACCAAGCCAAAGTGCACTTAACCTTTCTTTTAA